AATAACATAAGAATTTATGAACAGGTATATTTTAAAAGACATAAATCATTAATAGTAGGACTGGAAAAAGCTAAATATGAAACTTTAAGGCACCCATGCTGGTAACGATCGCGATCCATACTTCTGCCTCCACATCTTGACGAGGCGTCTACGCCTTTCCACGTCATCCATTTTCTTTTCATCCAGACGCTGCTTGAGGTTGCCTTGATGCTGTTTCTGGGTCAGTTTGGACTCCACCACCACTTGCGTCCCTGGCTCGACAGGCACTGTCGCTGTTTTTTCGAGGACTTCTTCAGATACTACAGCAGGTCCTTTAGTTCTGGCTGCAGAAGAGGCTACACCGTCACCCTTTCCTTCCTTTTCCGCAGCATCTTCCTTCTCTCCATCTAGATGCTGGTTGGGCTTGTCTTCACGCGGTTTCTGGGTCAGTTTGGAATCCACCTCCGCTTCCATCCGTGGCTTAAGAGGCACTGTCGGATTATTCGCAGGTCTTTCAGTTCTGGCTGCAGCAATGGGCACACCATCACCCTTTCCTTCCTTTTCCGTTGCATCTCCCTTCTCTCCATTTAGATGCTGGTTGGGCTTGTCTTCGCGCGGTTTCTGGGTCCGTTTGGAATCCACCCCCGCTTGCATTTGTGGCTCGACAGACACTGTCGTCTTGTTCGCCAGCCTTTCAGTTCTGGCTGCAGTAATGGACACACCGTCACCCTTTCCTTCCTTTCCCCTTCTCCCCCGCTTTCCATTGTCTTCTTTAACCTCTCCGTCCCCGTCCTCATCGTAGTCCGCGACATCAACGAAACCTACTCCGCTCCCCAAAAAATTCACGATAACGTTCGTGTTAACAGCAGATTTGGCAGCTGACAGCCCTATTGCTGGTTTAACCCCTGACGGATCACTCACATTTCCCGAGACGGAGCAATTGGCAGCGTTCAGTGGAAAGTTAACCGCAGTCAGGAAGAAGAACTTGAAGAGTCGGGCCAGGGTCTGACGACTGCACCACGCCAGGCAACGGTCGTTACAATTGCGAAGCACCCGATCCACGTAACGCATGAGTTTGTGTTGTCGATCGGCATTCTCCGGCGCGGTAGCATAGGCATCACGCGAGAAGTGAGTCCAGGTCTGTGCCACCTTAGCTAAGTTGTCTAACGTAGCACAGGAGCGTTGCACTTCTGTCAGAGGAGATAGGTTAAGCGGGGTGTTGGAGTTGTTTGCATTTGGTTTTGGCGGTAGCCATATGTTGCGCATGCCCGTGACACAACTCAAAAGGCATGCGAGAAGACAGAAACACCTTACGCTGAACATATTGTCGGTCTTACTCTGGGCAAGCATGCTACCAGGTTTGTCACCCCCTATTCTTATATCTGCAGTGAAGGTAGCGAACTCTGACCGATATATCAAATGTTCAGAAGGATCATTCGATAGTGCAGGTACATTTTGACGTTCTGTAGCTAACTGTGATTTATAGGTCTTAATCGGTATTTCGTACGGCCTATGACTTCCGATATAACTTCTACGCTTGAGCGTCCGAGCCCTTGTGGTTTATGTGGTGCATATACTTCGCACAACTATACAAAATTGATTTATAAGCTGATACAAAAGGGGGTCATGTTAGCGGACATGTGACAGGGCACGGTAGATTTATGAGTTCACTTATCGGTTACAACAAAAGCAACTTCTATACACATTCTTTCACAATCAAAAATAGGTTAACTGCTAGAAGAACGTTATCACCATATCCACGTAGACAAATCTTCTTACTGGCAAACAGTCAAATGAATATATTTTACATGGGATTGGACTTGTCATTGTCGGGGTAGTGTGCTTTGAATAAATGACTTTCAGTTGATTGCGGTTGACGATTAGCTCCTACGCCGTCAAATTGAAAAGCAGGGTAAAAATGGTCAGCAGTGATCGCTTTCAAATAAACCTTTTCCTCTTTCTTCATCGATACCATTGTTAAACGGTAAGCCAAGTGTAAAATAAATATGGAAGGTTTGGAGATAGCTCCGCTCAGCAGAAAATAACAAATGTGCTTATTGCGCCTAAAAGGCCGGAAAAGGTGCGAATGAGTGCAAGCGAATATCTGGGCCACAACTTCTTGTTGCAAAAAAGGTAAATGTCTGATCAGGCGAACAAAATATGTATCCAATTTACTTTTTTGTACGAGAATGCAATACTGAGTAGAGGGCAGAAGGAAATGTACTGTTCGCGATAAAGCATTTTAAAGGCGCAGACCCAAGCTTATCGCGCACACTAAGCCCTTCTACAAAAACTGTACAATTGCTCCTAAATTCTCATTGTCTCTGATGAAGGTCGTGAGTGCACGTTCGAATGTTCAAGTTTACACAAATAGGGCTGCCCTGATTGCGCGTTTATCTGGTCTTTATGGTGTTTAAGATTTGTGGAGTATATGTGGAACAGTTAGAGAGTACTGATGAATAAAATGTGGCACTGATATTTACTGCTTGCCTTCTATGAAGGACTAAATCGGAGACAATGACCTGTAAAATATTTGACGGATTTACATTCATGAAACCGCTGATCCCGTCAGACAATCCGCTGGCTACCGCCTTTCTTGGTGGACT